AAATTTAAGGTTCCTCGTCTCAAGCACCAAATACGTTTTGAAAAAATCTTTCATTTCTACCTCATTATAATAATGTCGAATATGTTCAAGGAAAGTCACTGATTCGGTCAAGTATCACTCGCAAGCTGTGACGCCTAGGTTAGAGTTAATCAACAAAAATTGTTGAGACAAAAATTAAGGAACTACCTGTCCCATACTTACTGTGGCCTAACTCTGTGACCGTAAAAATAATTACTGACAAGGTCAATAATCCTGTTCACGTTAACTCGCGGTTTGGGATCATTTTGATCTTTGTTGTTTTCTTCCGCCGTTGGCTGTTCTAGGGCTGCAAATATACCAATAAAAATCTATTCAGTGACCTTTCCTATATTGACTAAATTCATCAAAGATGTTGCAGAGCCTGTATTGTTAGCGGGAGTAGCTGACTAGCTGGAGGGGAAGGGGGCTGTCGGTGACTCCACTCCCCTCGGTGAGTTTTTTTTTAGTATGAAAGTCTTAAATGTCACTTTTATTAGAAAACGGTATGAGTGCCCGCAGAACAATCAGACAGGTACCCTGGATGTGATACGGTGTGATTCTCTTTCCACTTTGAAAAATGTTAGCTACGTATGCCTCTAATGCTGAAACTCATTAATATTCTCCGCTTATTTTGTACCTAGTCCTATAATGTGTAAGAAGCAATTCTGCCAGTCTAGGGCCATAGAGAGTTATATGGCGTAACGGCTCAATTTAAAAAAACTCAGCCTAGCCCCACATTTTAGTTCTGCATTTTTGTCTCTGATTTTTATGGCCCTTGGGACCCAGTTTAATAACGAGGTAGCACTAACTCTCATTTAATAATGAAGCTTCTTCATTTTTCAGTTCCTCGTCCTCTTCATCACTCTCTTCGTCTTCACCTTCGAGTTGAATCTCGGCGTCTTCTCGATCCGCTATCAAAAGAAGAAGAAAAAGTAATAACTGTTCGAGTCATTGAGTACCTATTGCTGTTTCCATTGGAATTAAACCACCCTAATCTCGGCTACACCACGGATTGGAAATTCTCGGAAAAACTGCGGGCTCTTTCCAAATACTTCACGATGTCGGATCGTGTATCATCATATTTCAAAATGGCCGCCTTCTTCGAACTGCAAATATTTCTATTTGGTACAATTTACGGATTTACTTCACTCCTAATGATACAGACTTAAAATATTATCTGTGTTTTGTGACTGAAAAAATAATAATTTTGATAACGGTTTTCAGGGGTATGAACGGTACCAGACTCTACAACCAATAATTTTTACAAATTTTTCAGCACTTTGACCTAAATTAAGTTTTCTTACAAAGTTCCTCACCATCGTCGTCTTCATCTTCGCTATTTTCTGAGTCAAGTATGGAAAAATCAGAGTCAGAATCAGAGGTGAGATAGCGTTCGTTACCTCCTTCGGCCATTCTGAAAAGGAAAGCTGAGAATCGGTTAATTAATTTCTCTGGAACTCTAAAACATATTGCACGATAGAACATTTAATTTATGAATCGTGCTCATTTAACGTTACGTAATCTTCTTCGTCGTATTGTAGGTTTTGGTTATTGCGTAACGTCTTAGGATAATTTGAAGGTTTGTTTTCGTTTCGTCTACAAAATAATTGTAAATTGTTTTTTTGTTTTTAGTGTAAGTCGTTCAGGTTTCTTCGAAGTCATGGTCGAATTTATTCGAGGTCGTTCAAGACTAGTTCGTTCGAGATCGGTCATTTTGTGCTGAACTGAAATTTGTTATTCGCACTTAGGTCGAGTTAATAATAAAAATGTTCAACTAGTGAACACATCTCTTGATCATTCGTTGATTAGTCTTTAGAGGCCTAGAAAGGAAGACTTAACCCTCAAACTCTCCAAGATCTGACTACTGTTAATTCTCCCCTCTAGCTGCTACACATTTCCTTGTAAAATAGTAACGAGAATTTGATGTTCAATCAAGGTAACACCTACCACCTGATAAGTTTGAGTATTCTCACTACCTGTTTACTGATAATGTATAGGGAGAAGTTACAGTTAATCACTGCTGGGAGTCAAACAGGTAATTGGTCATAGAGAGCTTTTCGGAGGGTCCCAATAAAAAAGATGGGGGGGGAGGTCACGTTGACGGTTGACGGTTAAATTTAGGTCATTTGGCGGTTGACGGTTAATGTTTTGGAACTTCGTTCTTAAAAGTGAACTAATTGGCTGTAATTTTTCATAATTACGCGTTTGTAAAGAACTGTTAATTCATAATTAACAATTATTCGCTGAAGGCGAGGTGAATAATCGAGGGGATTATTCGACAATATTTACCGAACCTGAGGCGAATAATTGTTTTAGTGTAATTTCAGAGCTGAACAACAGAGAAATTTCTAAAATCATAACATTTTAGTAACATTTATTAACAGTTTATTTTAACATTTTATATAAACCGCGTGGAGCGGTTTATATAGCGTCATATAAGGAACCGCTCGACCAATCAGATTGCTGGAAAGTCTTTGCTCAGCTCTGAACTTATACTAACACATTTTATAAATAAATAACTAACGTTTTACGACACCGGAAGTGTTTCCACACCGGAAGTCAGTTCTGTCGCTAAACAGTTTTACTCGCGATTAGAAGTGAAAGGAGTTACTTAAATATATTTTTTGCGACATATCAAAACTTATTCCTAAACAAAGGAACTTGACCCAAATTAAAGTAATCGTTTGGTTCTTAATCAAGGATATCTGAGGCATTTGACGGCTAACATTGGCTTGCTTATTTGACGACTGGCGGTAAAAATATTGCGTTCTTGACGGTTGACGGATAATATTTTGGCCATTTGACGGTTGACAGTTAACCCCATTGCGACCCTCTTTGAAGATC